ATTATAACCCCACAATAAGTTAATATAATTATTATTTGTTGAGCACATTCTCAGTGCTCAGAACTTGGCATAATCGTTCACATAAACATGTAAAGACCATAATATTATCCTCTTGTCGAATGTAACGAGACTAAAGATCAGACAGGTTGAGTAACTTGTTAGCTATAAAGAAATTGAAATGAGATTGAGTCCAAAACCTACTTTATCTCAAAGGACCTACAGGAACTGCTTAAAAATAAAACATTTTAAGGGGAACCTGAAACGTAAATATATTGGCCCTGGGGCGGGGGCGGGGCCGCGGATCCTAGAACGCTTCCGGCTCGGAGCAGCGTTCCCGCAGCGGGGGAAACAGGCCCGACTCGGGGACACAATAACGCAGGCGGAGGCGGACGTTCGCTTAACTGTTTACTGACTGGGATGGAGGAGCCTGGGCGGGGCCTTCCGTGTGGAGGCGGGTGCGGAGGGGCCCTGGTCGCTGCCGTGGACACAGTCCCCTGCGCCAGTGCCCAGCGCCCAGCGCCCGGCGGCCCGGACGGCAGCCTCAGGCAGCGGTGCGCTGCTGAATGTCTAACCACCGGCTCTCGGGGGACTGTCTTGTAGTGTCACTTCCGGGTGTACATACTCCCACCCTGGCCGATTTCGAACCACCGGGTCACAGCGCTCAAGCGGGAGCTGCGAAGAGGCGCGCGATCAGCAGGGCTATGCCAGTTCCAAGACGTGAGCCCTCTCCCCACGGAGCTCTGAGCCAGACTGTCCCCAGGGCCCAAGCATTCGGCCTGAGCCTTGCTCCCAGCCTCACCCGCCACCTGCAGCATCTTCCACTGCGGCTCTAGCTGCCCCCGCAGGTGCATCAGGGCCTGCGTGTCCTCTGGGGAGGCCACGCATAAGGGGCCCAGGCTGGGGGGTGCCTCTCCGTGCAGCACCTGGGCCAGGACGCCTGCCAGCTGGGGTGTGGATTCCTGGCCAAGGGCAGAGAGGAAAGCCGTGAGTCACTGGCCTCTCCCCGATTCCCACCCTACAGCACATCTGCCCTGCTCAACCCACCTCATCCACAAGGGCCAAGACTCGGCACCCTGCTGGGGCCCGCAGCAGTGAGGCCAGGAGCGCAGCCTGGGGGTCCTGCAGGCCATGGTCCGGCCCCAGTGCCAGCAGCACCAGGTCAGGCCGGAAGCTATAGGCCAGGGGCAGCACCAGGGCCAGGAGGAAGTTCAGGAACCCGCCAGCTGTCTGTGGAGGGACGGGTGGCATGACCCCATCCCCTCATCCAGGGGACCAGGGGACACCCCTCCTGCCATCAGGATGTCGGGAAGGGTAGGTGAAGGCCAGGGGCCTGGCCCTTAGGATGATAGTCAGCAGCCACTGCCTGGCCCCGGGACACCACCACTTACCCCGGGCAGTGGCATGGAGACGTGGAACATGGACAGGGCGGCTGCCTCCTTGCCCCTGATGTTCAGCCACAGGTTCCTCCTTTCAGGGGAGAGTGGTCACACGGACACGTGTGTGTGTGAGCGAGACGCCACTCACGCTCCAGAACCAGGACGCCAGAAGGTGAGGCGCAGGAGAGTTCAGGGATGGGGTGCTGGAAGTGCTGACCCTCTGTGCTGGAGACCCTCCTGGCCTTGCTCCCAGGGCCCCCTGGGCCACCCAGCCATCTCTCCTGGGGACCCACAGTGACACACCCACCCCCATGCAGGAACCCAAGGGGCATACCCATCATCTGCCAGGTCCGATGGCCGATCCAGCTGTCCCACGGCCACACAGAGAATCCTAGAGAAGGAGGTGGTCCCAGGACAGGCTGTACTCACCCCACTAGCACCCCATCCCAGAGCCCTCCCACTGTGGCAGCCAGGGCGGGGGTGCCCGTGGGCCACGCCCTCAGAGACTCCCAGCCAGCGGAGGCTCTCACCTCTGAGCTCCCCGGGAAAGGCCGCACCGAATGGCCACATCCAGAATGGCAACTGCAGCAGAGGCCGGGGTGGCTGCGATGCCGCTGCTCACCTGCGGGGTGAACGACAGCAGTGGAGGGCAACCCCCAACCAGGCAGACAGACCCATCCGGCCCTTCCCTTGGTCCCGGTCTCCGTGCCTGTCATCTATACACTCTGAGGTCAAATTGCTCCACTTCTGGAAATAAGGTGCTTAAAACTGCACTTGATATCACCGCCTCCCCCTCTCTGCCAAAGAGCACTGAGGAGGGGACAGGGGAGCGCCTGTCACCCTGTCCCTAGGGGCTCTTCTGGGAAGGGTCCTGGGCACAAGGCAACACTCACATACACATGGCTCTGCACCCCCCTATCCCTCACCCCCCGCCCCGGTCCAGGCCCTGCCCCAGCTCCACAGCCACCCCAACCCCCCATCCCCTCCAGGTGCCCCCACCTGCCCATCCAAGATCCTATCCAAAAGGTTCAGGACCTTCCCAAGTGCACTGGCAGCCTTGTCCTCGGCCAGGGCCTCGTGTAGGCTGCGTAGAAAAGCCGAGGGACACAGACACAGGGTGACACAGATCACAGGTGAGTCACACCAGGGTGCATGGTGGACACAGCCTCACCCCCTCCCCAGGCCCACGCTGCCCACCTGGCCCAGGACTGCGTCTCCTCCTTCAGGGCTGACCCCTCCTGATGGGTGACTTCAGGGGGCAGGGCCAGAGCAGCGTCCCGCGAAGTCAGAGCTACAGCCGTGCGGACAGGGGGCATGGGGCGGAGGTGCAGCCGGTCCAGGAGGGAGCTCAGCGCCACCGTGGCCTGGGCCGCCGCAGCCTTGAATTCGGGCCCCTCAGACAGCAGAGGTGAGGGCCTCCCCTCTGGGGAGCGGGTGCTGGGGTTCAAGACGGGGGCCGAGTCTAGGGGGGCAGGTCAGAGTCACAGGCACTTTGTGAAAGCCAAGGCCCTATCCCACCACCCGGCCCAGGCCACACTGACCTTGTTGCTGGAGGCTCGTCCAGTGAGGGACCTGGCTTGCCTCGGACATCCTGAAGGACTTCAGGCGCTGCAGGAGAAACAGAAGGGTGAGGCTTGGCCTTGCACCCCCAGCCTTCCCCGCCTGCAGCCCCTCGCACCTGCGATGCGGCACCATGGGCCCGGACAGGGGCGGGGCGGGGTCCCCCAGCAGGGCCTGCACGGTCATGCACACGGACTCGGAGAGGGACTCCAGGGTTGTAGCCGCCCTGGGAGGAGAGAGGAGGGCAGAGGTGTCACTGGGGCAGAAGGCCCCTCCGACTGCAC